AACAAATGATTCAAAATCACATATAGTTCGACTGTTAAGGCAATAAAAGCTATAGAAACTAGAACAATGTATAAACGAACAATATTTTACTCATAGAATGAGTAACGTATATGTTCAAAATCACATCAAATTTGAATAAATCCAATCCCAAAAACTAGTTAAAAATTTATACATGGGGAACAAGCACGTGTGTCAATGCTTACAGACCACCTTGTGGATTGTCACAGTACTATTTGGTTTGTGGGTTCAAATCCCAAAACACTGAATTTATTATTTAAAAAAAGAATGGATCCAATGGATAAGAATTTAGTTATATAAAAAAAAAGAATGGAAAAACGGATCCGATGGATCCAATGGATCTGATGGATCCAAGGGATCCCAAGGAACCGATGGATCCAATGGATCCGATGGATCCCATGGATGTGATGGATCCAATGGATCCAATGGATCCGATGGATCCAATGGATCCAATGGATCCCATGGAACCAATGGAACCGATGGATCCGATGGATCCGATGGATCCGATGGATCCAATGGATCTGATGGATCCGACGGATCCAATGGATCCGACGGATCCCATGGATCCGATGGATCCGATGGATCCGACGGATCCAATGGATCTGATGGATCCAAGGGATCCCAAGGAACCGATGGATCCAATGGATCCGATGGATCCCATGGATGTGATGGATCCAATGGATCCAATGGATCCGATGGATCCAATGGATCCAATGGATCCCATGGAACCAATGGAACCGATGGATCCGATGGATCCGATGGATCCGATGGATCCAATGGATCTGATGGATCCGACGGATCCAATGGATCCGACGGATCCCATGGATCCGATGGATCCGATGGATCCGACGGATCCAATGGATCTGATGGATCCAAGGGATCCCAAGGAACCGATGGATCCAATGGATCCGATGGATCCCATGGATGTGATGGATCCAATGGATCCAATGGATCCGATGGATCCAATGGATCCAATGGATCCCATGGAACCAATGGAACCGATGGATCCGATGGATCCGATGGATCCGATGGATCCAATGGATCTGATGGATCCGACGGATCCAATGGATCCGACGGATCCCATGGATCCGATGGATCCGATGGATCCGACGGATCCAATGGATCTGATGGATCCAAGGGATCCCAAGGAACCGATGGATCCAATGGATCCGATGGATCCCATGGATGTGATGGATCCAATGGATCCAATGGATCCGATGGATCCAATGGATCCAATGGATCCCATGGAACCAATGGAACCGATGGATCCGATGGATCCGATGGATCCGATGGATCCAATGGATCTGATGGATCCGACGGATCCAATGGATCCGACGGATCCCATGGATCCGATGGATCCGATGGATCCGACGGATCCAATGGATCTGATGGATCCAAGGGATCCCAAGGAACCGATGGATCCAATGGATCCGATGGATCCCATGGATGTGATGGATCCAATGGATCCAATGGATCCGATGGATCCAATGGATCCAATGGATCCCATGGAACCAATGGAACCGATGGATCCGATGGATCTGATGGATCCGATGGATCCAATGGATCCGATGGATCCAATGGATCTGATGGATCCGACGGATCCAATGGATCCGACGGATCCCATGGATCCGATGGATCCGATGGATCTGATGGATCCGATGGATGTGATGGATCCAATGGATCCGATGGATCCAAGGGATCCCATGGAACCGATGGATCCGATGGATCCCATGGATGTGATGGATCCAATGGATCCGATGGATCCAATGGATCCCATGGATCCCATGGATCCGACGGATCCAAGGGATCCCATGGAACCGATGGATCCGACGGATCCGATGGATGTGATGGATCCGATGGATCCCATGGATGTGATGGATCCAATGGATCCGATGGATCTGATGGATCCATCACATCCATGGGATCCGATGGATCCAATGGATCCGATGGATCCAATGGATCCGACGGATCCAATGGATCCGATGGATCCAAGGGATCCCATGGAACCGATGGATCCAATGGATCCGATGGATCCCATGGATGTGATGGATCCAATGGATCCGATGGATCCAATGGATCCAATGGATCCCATGGAACCGATGGATCCAATGGATCCGATAGATCTGATGGATCCGACGGATCCAATGGATCCAATGGATCTGATGGATCCGACGGATCCGATGGATCCAATGGATCTGATGGATCCGACGGATCCGATGGATCCGACGGATCCCATGGATCCGATGGATCCAATGGATCCGATGGATCTGATGGATCCAATGGATACGATGGATCCCATGGATGTGATGGATCCAATGGATCCAATGGATCCCATGGATCCGACGGATCCGATGGATCCAAGGGATCCCATGGAACCGATGGATCCAATGGATCCGATGGATGTGATGGATCCCATGGAACCGATGGATCCAATGGATCCGACGGATCCGATGGATCCCATGGATGTGATGGATCCGATGGATCCAATGGATCCCATGGATCCAATGGATCCCATGGATCCCATGGATCCGATGGATCCCATGGATCCGACGGATCCAATTGGATCCATCGGATCCATTTTTTTTTTATATAACTAAATTCTTATCCATTGGATCCATTGGATCCATTCTTTTTTTTTTATAACTAAATTCTTATCCATTGGATCCATTGGATTCACCTAAGTACTCTACCTACCTAAGTACTCTACCTACCTACCTACCTAAGTACTCTACCTACCCTACCTAAGTACTCTACCTACCTACCTACCTAAGTAGTCTACCTACCTACTCTACCTACCTACCTACCTACCTACCTACCTACCTACCTACCTACCTACCTACCTACCTACCTACCTACCTACCTACCTACCTACCTACCTACCTAC